TCTGTTGAAGATGACGCAGCTGGCTATGAGGGGAGGGGCACCTGGGCATTGTTGGTGTAGATGCGATAAGTGACCATGCTGGACAGCCTGGTGAAATTCTGCTTTGCCCCTTCAATGGCTACCGACTAAACCTGAGCAAAAAATATGAGCACAAAATGCAAGCAGGTAGGTCTTTCTTCCCAAAATTACGTTGGCCATTTGACTAGAATGTCAGTAAAACATTCAGGAATGCCCGATCATATTTACAAAGCCTATCAATACCTGGTTATTGAGAGTAGAGAACCAGCCCATCGCAAGTCAGTCACAAGCCAAATCATAAATCAGTTTGCAGTTCAGCTCATAAATAGAAAAAGCAAAACAACAGCAGAAAAACTGACGCAGATATCACCAAATAGACAATGATAACAACTGGCGATAGTCGATAATCCATTCATACTAATAGTTAGGGGTTTCTTACAACTACAATTTACAATTTCGCTCAATTTCTTCTGTCGGTACTTACTTTGCCTGGAAGTTGTGGCCGTTGATTCTACCCCGAGACCATCGGCCTGTATCCGCCACGGCATGATTGCAGGACAGTGTCTGGAGGTCCGTTCACTCACACGGCAGGTCTGTCACAAGGATGAAGGCACACAAGCTGAAGGATTCCACCAGCTGGTATGCACTCCTGGCTGTGCAGAGTTCATCAACAGGGTTTATGTAGCGTGAGGGCTCAGGCAAGAAAAAAAAATCCCTATAAGCTGAATCCCCTGCTAGTTAACCTCCAAGAACTTGACTGAAAGTTCCATTTTAATTTACATCAAGTTTTTCCAAGAAAATCATTTTCTTAATGTTAGGCACGTCAGACGAGAATTTAAGAAACTGTGCCAAAATATCATCATACTGGTAATTTTGTAATGGGTCACCAACTCGTTATTTGTGAACTTAAAATTACTAAAATTGTACTTTATGACACGGGGAATACTATGATGCAGATTGAGGTGGTCAAGGACCTTGATAATACTTCTAAAGAGTTTACATGTAAGATTCGTCAGCACACCTTGTGTTTTGTCGTTCAGGATTCATTTACACACAGGCCTAGTAGATATTCATCAGCTGACTGAACAGGTTGCTAGGCAATTTCCTTTGCCCCCCCAGAAACAGCCATCCAAATGGTATCCGTGACAACGGCCAGCTGCTCCTCGGTCAGCTGGCCCCAAGCTAGCCCTGCCATGTTCCACCATGCCCAGGAGGATGTTGTAGATGTTGTCGTCACTCAGGCCAATGAGAGCGCTGTAGTGGTTGTCCCAGATATCGGACAATCCGCTTGTCTTCCACGAGGGTGATGCTGGCTGCCG